TAAAAATAAGAAAAAAATAAATAATTCGTTTTAACAAAAATATAAATATCACTTATTTTGTACAAATAAGTTACATTGACTATAGTTTATAGCTAAAAAACTATAGTTTTTTAGCCAAATCGCTCTCCGAGTTTTAAAAAAAAAATTAAAAGTGAGGTAAAATTACTACTTTTGTATATCTGAGGTATATATAAAAGTAGAAATTTCACACAAATCGCGTCGATAGATTTGGCTAAAAACCAGTCGCATGATGTTATATTTATATTTTGAGAAAAAACAATTCTTGTAATGTGGATCTTGATACTCAAAAATCTCATAATAGAAAATATTTTTGTCGATAACAAACCAAATATGGTTAAAAATTACAAATTTCTACTCTAGGAGCTACTACATGGATTTTGTTTTTAGGTACAGGGTGATCCCCTATAATGTCGCCCCCCTTTAACTTTTTTATTTTAAGTGTCCGGAAAAACAAAAAGTATATTTTTTTTTCAATGGATCACCCTATATATGTATTTATTTTTAAATTCCTTGTAAAATTCTAAGCATATTTCATATAACATACCATATACCTAAATTCAACCGTTTCTGAAATATTTAAATTATTTTTAAGATAATATGTTGAAATAGTTTGTCTTTCTCTGTCTGAGTAGGCCATTTTTACCTATTTAACAAGACATATTGACATAATGTCACTATAATAATTTATATTCAATAAAAATATTGGTATACTGAGGCTTCTTGATTTCTAACAGTTTTAAAAAACATTTAATGATAACATTTCGAATGTGAATATTTCAGAAACAGTTGAATTTAGGATATGGTTTATTATATGAATAATAATTATAATAATTATTATGCTCAGAATGTTACAAGGAATCGAAAAATAAATTCATATATAGGGTGATCCATTGAAAAAAAATAAACTTTTTGTTTTTCCCTGTATATTGATCAATTTTTCATTTTTTTTAATACGTAGAAAAAAAGTATTTTTAGTACCTACATAACCACACTTTTAAATTTTTTGGGACACTTAAAATAAAAAAGTTAAAGGGGGGGCGACATTATAGGCGATCACCCTGTACAGTTTGTTGGTTTTTTAAGAAAAGTGTAGGTTATAAAAAGAATTTAATAAACTAAAGCCTAAAAATATATATATTTTAATTACTTTTTAAAAATGATTTTTTTAGCACAACAACTACCTTAATCAAACGTAGTCAGGTTGGCCTGTCTATATTTAGGAGGAATTTTGAATTTAGAATTTTAGGAGTTTTCAAGATTTAAGCCAAATTTTTGGAATTTTATGAGTTTTAGGAGGTGTGGGAGCCCTAATATATATAATAGCTATAAATACATACTATAAAATCATGTAATTAACTTTTTCAAAAACGTTGAAAAACCCATGAAACGAATTCCATTACAAATTGCCAATCTGTAGAATTTGCTCTAATGTTAATAAATTAGATTTAGATTTTTTTAATTGTTCTCTTGTGGTGTTTAAAAACAAGATAAATAATTTGTAAGTTATTGTAAAAATTGTAAATTGTATATCCGTCAATAAAGCTAATATTATTATTTAAAAAAATTACCCCCTTAAATTTTTTTAAGGCCTGTTGTTTATTCAAAAATGAACCAAATAACTTTTTTCTATTTTCTTTGCTTTTAAAACTATATAAAAAAAAATATTCAGAACTATCTTTTATTTTTTTTAACTTTTTCAAAAAAACATTGAAATATTTTCAGTTTTATTTTTTTTAACCAGGTTCTCTCTACATCCTCAAAAATCCCCAGAGTGGTATAATGAGAAAAAATGTTCTTTTAATTGAAAAAAAAATTGAATAATTAATAACACCACAATTTTAGAGAATCTAATAAAAAAAAATTAAAAATGACAATCATCGAGAAATTTTCGTTTTTTTTTCGAAAATCAAAAAAAATATTTTTTTAATATAAAGCTTACCGAAAATTTCATCACAGTATTTGGCAAGCTTGTACTGCTGGCTTTTGCAGCAATGGTTTTCAAAGGATAAAATGACGGGATAATCTGACGTCACAAAGGCTGTATCTCTTATGGCATAAATAACATCCTTAAAAACTATATCGGTGCACATGGCTCTACCGTGGGTTATTATAGGTTCTTCATCCTCTCCTTTACCTAGTTATACATAAAAAATAACCATTTTTGATATGGATTTTTTTCGTTATATAACTATTTACCGTCCCAGCAGTCCAATTCGACGCATCGGCATCCGGCCAACAGGACTTGCCGATACATTTCCACGGAAGACTTGCCGCCAAACTGTCGGCCGGATAGATAAGTGTTATGACTAGAGTTTATGTAGTAGGCGCACAGTGGTTGGTCCATTTCCATGTAGATTTCCAGACGGTCGAGAAAAACGGGCGCATTCTCGTCCGACATCAAGTATCTAAAGAAAAATGTCTATTCATTTAACAGACGGAGTAAAATGAACTGGAACCTTAATATATAATATATCACATAGTACATAGGATGATTTGTTTTGAACATTTTTTTGTCACTCCCCAAGCAAAACATTGATGTTCATATCGAGTAAAAATGCCCTTAAAGTTTCAGCCTACTTTAAAGTACTTTTATTTTGATTTTAAATTTTTTCCCACAATCCACACAACAATGTCTGTTCCATGGTACAAGAACAAAAGGTATGTTCTTGCGCATCTGTTTCCACCATTCCTTAGATTACATTTTGATAATAGTTGTTTTTTAAGCTATTTTAAAGTTTTGTATCCAAAATGTCTAACTGCCAAGTGAAAATCTGTAAAAAACAATGCCAAAAAAACCTTTAAATCCAATACATTTCCTTAGTATGGGCTTGAAAAAATTGATGTTAAGGATAGTTATTAGATTTATTTTAAAAACAATTAAATAGCAGTAGTTTTTTAGAGGTACTTTCCTTTTGTGTACACAAATTATCTGTGACATATATAGATAAAAAATAATTTAGGTTAATATTTTTGTTTGTTTTGTAGCTTGTATTTGTTCCATTTACTTTGAAGATAGTTGCTATAAGAAGGAAAATTGGATTGAAAAAACATACAAACTACATTCCCATAAAAAAGTCTTTAAAAGTGGATACTGTTCTAACTTTACACTTAATTAATTAAAATTAAATCTTTTTTTTGCATTGTGCAGGAAATGTGACAAGACAAGGAAGCTAATGATCTTCAAGGACAGTCCATAACAGAAACTCAAACTGCTGATAATGAAATGGCCTGGGATAGAAACATCCCAAAAGCATTAGAAAACCAGCTTATATCATACAATAATATAATATTTTTCGCAAGTTTAGTTTTATTCAATTTTGGCTCCATGGTGGCCAATTTAGGGTATTTATTTGGCAACTATACTAAATTGCAATTAATTGTAAATATAATTTTGTAATAAATAAATTTAGAAGATATATGTTGTTTACATTTTTTTGCAATATTAATGTTGTTGACTTGACACTTTTAATTTCATTCTTTAAATTTGCTTTAAAACAGGATATTTTATTTTATTGAAAACATTTTACTTATAAATGGCTTTAAAACAAGATATTTTTTTGAAAATCCATTATTTAAAACATTTAACCTAAAAACTAAAATAAAATTTTTCTTAGCACTTTTTTATATATAGTCCAGTCATCTAGGCATTTCACCTCGGAATCTAACGCAATAAGCTGAATTTTTGTACAAACCTTTATTTTAGCATTGCAAATGTTGTCTCAAAAGTCACATATGCCAACGTGTGAGCGGCCTTAGATATTCAAGGTCAAAGGTCGCAAAATTCAATTTTTTGAGAATATCTCCTTTTCTCTGCCTCCTATCGTATTTGCATTTATTAAACAAGTTGTAGAGAATAAAATTCTCTACAAATTTTGTTTAAAACATTTTTTTATACGTCTAATCGTTTTTGAGATAGAGGGCGCAGAGTGTGGAGCGCTCAGCCATACGTACCTTTAGCGCAAGGTAAATCATGAATCCCAATATTATACCGTTTTTTTAATTAATTATTTATTAAATATTACTTAAATATCAATTTAATACCTTATATTTATTTTTATATATTTTTTTAAATCAAATATTAAATATTACTTACTTTTGACATACAAATAATTAAATAATGAAGTGAATTATTCTAAATATCGCTGAGAAAAAACAATGGTTATCTTAATCGAATATATAGTAACTTTTACTAAATATTCTGATTAGTATAGGCACAGCCATATTTACTGTTATGTTAACCATGTTTATATTGTAACAGTTATATTGTCACTTTAACTATATTTTTGTTGTTGCACAAAACAATAATTTATTTAGTTATAATAGTCATATGCAAATACCTTATAACCCTCTATATGGTTAAATATACTATACGTATGATATGTATAAACTTTCTGTATAGTAAAAACTACAACGACATATTGTTAATAATGTGTGACAACATTATATTGTTATTGTAACCAGATAATCTTATAATTTTAACCATCTAGTGTAGTACTAACAGTTTAGCCGTACATGATGGTTGTAATAGCCTAATCAAATATCTAACTTTACTAAATTTTTATAACAAAATGATTAGAGTACATATAACAAAACTAATTTTTCGTATTTTGTTATTACAACCATAAGTTATAATTAAATTAACCATATTTTGCATAACAAATCTATATTGTTAGGGATTACAATATATTTTCTTAGAGTGTGGTTTGGTGCAAGACTAAAATTGTTTTTTGCATAATATGTATTTATTTATTAATCTTTGGATGTAAATCCTTCCAATTTTTAAAAGAATGACGCGAAAAACAATATAGTTACAATAAATAGAAATTTTCAATAGTGTTTTTCTCCAATTGTTAGAAAATGGACTTACGATAGTCTTGCACCAAACCAGCGATATATTCTAATGTTATTCTAATTAATGATAAATGCATTTTAAGAAGAAAAGACATTAAATGAATTTGCCTTGAATATATTATCTCCGGTCATCTCTTGGATCCAGATATTGCTAGTAAAATTGCAGCAGCTAAACGTCGCCTTGAAGAGACTGGACCTTCAACGCCATCAACTGTACCTCGTAAAAAAGGGAATGATGTGTTTGATTTTAAAATATTGTGCTTATTTTGTGGTGAAGTCGCAGATGAAGCAACAGAGGCAAAAAAATCTGCGAAGTAGAAACGCGTTATAAGTTTTTAAAGATATGACAATAAATGTCAATGATAACGAGGAGAGTGATGATGAGAATAAGTCTGAAATTGCTGGCCAACCTGAAGAAGACTAGGATGAAGAAGATGAAGATTAATAATAATAATTATAATAATAATAGTAATAATATTGATATAAATAAAACATTTTTTCCTACTGTGATCTAATTATCCTTCATTAAAATGAAATTAATATATAAGATATATATTAAGATAAAATACCTATATTTGATTTAAAAGAAAAATAAATAGGTATAATATAAGTATAAGGTATTCAATTTTTATTTTAGTAATTTTTAATATATAATTAATTAAAAAAACGGTATAATAGATTGGAATTCACGATTTACCTTGCGCTAAAGGTACGTATGAGCGCTCCACACTCTGCGCCCTCTATCTCAAAAGCGGTTCGACGTATAAAAAAATGTTTTAAACAAAATTTGTAGAAAATTTTATTCTCTACAACTTTTATAATAAATGCAAATACGATAGGAGGCAGAGAAAACGAGATATTCTCAAGAAACTGATTTTTTCGACCTTTGACCTTGAATATCTAAGGCCGCTCACACGTTGGCATATGTGACTTTTGAGACAACATTTGTAATGCTAAAATAATGGTTTTCACAAAAATTCAGCTTATTCCGTTAGATTCCGAGGTTGATCCCTTTTTTTAACTAAGATGACTGTACTAATATTTGATTTGGTATTTAGTAAATATTATTTACTTTTAAACAATATATTTTATTTGGTTGAAAAACCATATAAATTTGTTTTTTTTTGTTAATATTTTCTTGAAATGTTAATATTGTGACTTGGATCGTTTTTTAATAATAATATAATATTTATTTAGCAAAAGCTACATACGAATCACAAAGTAAATTAAGATTAAAATTAATAAAATAGACAAATGGGTAAGTTTACATTTTTAAAAGCATAACAACATGAGAAATGTTAAAAATATATAAATAAATGTAAAAAGTACAATAACAAACATTAAAACATTATTAACACATATGTTCTAAGTAACATCTTAAATTTTTTAATATTATCACAGACTTTAATATCATTGGGCAATTTATTGAATTCTAAAAGACCTTTATACATAATAGAGTTTAGCATTTGGCTGGTGTTGCACTTATCAGTCAATATAAAATCATTACAATTTCTAGTGTTATATGAGTGGACTTCTTTAAAATATTGTGTTTTTTTACAGATATAATCAGGTAACATTTTATTTTTAACTTTAAAAATTAACAGAAATACATTAAATATAATTTTTTGTTTGACGGAAAGCACATTTAGGACATTTAACATAGATAAAACAGGTGTATAAAAATTACATTTTAATATTGTTCGTAATGCTCTATTTTGTACCACTTGGAACTTTTGTATTATATAATTTGGTAAATTGAACAGAATGGTGGAGCAGAACTCTAGATGCGGTGATGCTATACTGTTGTATAATAACAATTTTGTATGCATCGTTAAATGCTTACCAATTCTAGAAATAAAATTTACTTTTTTAGAAAACTTTCGCAATATATAGTCTGCGTGAGCATGGAAATTTAATTCGTTGTCAAATATAACACCCAGGTATTTAATCTGGTTTACAGGCATAATATTTATGTTATTTATCACAATACTGACATTATTTAAGGCATTAAGATTTAATTTTGATTTTCTTCCAAACAAGCAAAATTTGGTTTTATCAGTATTTATACTTAAATTATTATTGCACAGCCATTTAAATAAAATATTCGACAATTTAATCTTAAAATCAAATAATTTTATAGAAATTTGGATAAATTTTCTCGTCGTATGTATATATATATATATATTTATATCAAAATGGCGAGGTTTGATTATAAAAATCAATCTTACCTGTATAAAAATAAAAATGGTAGTAAAATATGTTTGTCACCATAAAAATTTACCTTGTAAATCCATCTTTGGTAAGTCTTCTTTCTTTTCGAGATTCCTCATCCTGTTCATATGTATCTATAATTTCTGCCGCTCTTTTTTCGTCGTACAAAGGATACAAAATTTCGTTCAAACGTGGATCTCGCTGCTTCTCGTTCAAAAATTCAATCATCTGGTTTATGTTCATGTATTCCGCCTTGCCTTGAGTACTAAAACAAGCAAAAAATGCTTAAAATCGGAAACATGATCCTGAATAAAAAATCATGTAACTTGCAAAATTTCATTGCACTTACATGCTTCTAAAGAGTTCCTCAATGTCGTTCCTGGGGCAGATTTTATGGTACAAGGCGTAAAACTTGTCGAACGTGAAGTCGCTCGGTTCGATCGAGTCGTTTTTTTGGCTCGGCAAACCGAGCTCGGATAAAAATTGGTAAACCAACTTTTCGGTTCTGCCCGACGCAAAAGTTTTAGCGATAACTTTAACCGGTATCTTACCAACCGGGTCGACGGAAAAATTTAATCTCATCCAACTAAAAATAATGACGATTTCATGTTATGTAATTATGTTTTATTGAATTTTTTTATTTATGGGTATAAAAGGTTTAGAAAACCAATTCCTGACTTTTTATATACAGTGTGTATTTGTTTGCGACTCACCCCTGTAAAATCTTGTTTTAAAAAATAAATATGAATTCTTAAAAATTTACCCTCAAAAACTGACATAGTAGGCCTTGTATTTTTTGTAAACATGTTTTTTTTGTTCCAAAAAGTTTATCAAGATCTACACTTTAAAACAAATCCGGTTAAAACTTCACAATAATTAAAGATTTTACCGGGGTGAGTGCAAACAAATGGTCACACTGTAGGCAAAAAAAATGTTGATAATTAAATAATTTTTAAATATGTAACTCAAATATTTTTTAGATTAGATGGATTGATTTGCAAAAAAAAACATAAAATTTAAAATACCTAGGTACATAAAGTAAATAAAAATGATATGTAATAAAAAATATAATTTCCAAAAGGTTTTTTCCACCTTATACCCACAAATGGTTCTAATTTGGAACGGGAAAAGGGAGAAAACATATTAATATTAACAAACAAATATTTTAACTAGACAAAATCTATAAAATGCAAAAAATTACAAAGCTTTTCTTTCATTTTTTTTTCACTAAGCACTTACTGTTTCATTAAGGCAGTTCGTGGACAAACATTAGAGCTTTTATTATTGTGAGTAATAGTTCTGAGATGAGTTTGCCAGCTCTGGAAAAAATCATGCAAAAATACAACATAACACAAAAAAAATGCAAGGAAAATTAAAACACCACATGCTGTTAGTGACAATAATGCAAAAAGTCATTCAGAAACATTTTTTTATTATTAGTACATAAATAGGACATTCCCTTTTTTTTAATGAAAGAACTTACTGTTTTTTCAAACATGTCATCGGGCAAAAATTATTCGCCTTTACATTGTGCGTTATTTTCCTCAAGCCTTCAAGCCAAACCTTCAAGAATTTAATGGATTAATAAATTAAGATAATAAAGTAGGTATTTAAACTTTAGGTAGTCAATGTAATTTTTTTTTAATTTTATTACAATAGCATTAAGAAAATTACCCATCAAAACAATTTATAATATAATAACAATAACAACAATTAAAACATTGTCATTTTTTAATTGTTAAGTGTTCTTAGGTGTAATATTTTTTTCAGAATTTAAAGACAATTTTATTTGACATTTTATCTGACATCTGACAACTGTTTACTTTTTCCAAATTTGACATCAGCCAAACAGTTTTAAAAACCTTACAATTTTCCAATCTTTCAAACGATTTTAACCTGTTAAAATTGGGAAAAAGTAAGGTTAAAACTGCTTGACAGTTGCCAGATAAAATATTACGCAGTGACTACGTGCACGTTAAAGTGCCTGCAATTTAGTTTTTACGGGCACGCTAGTGAACATTATAGTATTTTCTCAATTTAATAGAAGTTAGAATTTTAATAAAGACAGCTTTTTTATTATATTATATAATATATATTATCAATTTTCAAAAAACGTTTGTTGTGACAATAACTCGAATCTCAAAGATACATACCTCTTATATATATAAAAGTTGTTAAACTACTCAAAATAGCGTAGAATATAAATATTCTCTTATTGGCGACACTGCTGTGCAATGTTGCCATCCCGTAAAAGATGAACAATACGAAAACCGTTTTGTTTATAGATTTCCGTACGGGTTGTGTCCACTTTTATTTATAAAATCGCCTTTGATTTTAACTTTTAGAAAATTTAAATAGTTTTTTGTAAGGGGTCGTAGGTCAAAATTTTGTTTAGATTTTTGTATTTTTTAGTTTAATATCTATAATTTTTGTGTTAAATATTTTCAACAAAAATATCAACCGATAAGGATAAAACAGTTTCTTATTTAAGATTTTATTTTCAAAACGTCTTTAGAAAATAACACAATTTTGAAACCCTAATTACTCAAAATGGTGCGTAATTTTTGGAAACTATAATCGAAATTACATTATTTGATTATTAATAAAATAATAAATATTAAATATATAATTAAGAAATTCGTCACCCTTAACGTAATATGTTTATCGCGCAGGTCTGACTCACCCATTTTTTTTGTTGTTTTTGTTAATAAGAAAAAATTATAATCCCTTCAACGTAATCAAGCGTTCAGTTGTAATTTGGCTTCGATGGGACATACATCAACAAATTGCTAGGTATTATCAGAATTCTAACGCATTTATTAGGTCAAATAATACTACGAATATTTTTGATATTTAAAAAAATAAAGAACATAAAATTTGCAGTCCTTAAATGGTCTAATTGTATTTTTTTTCTAGGACCAACATGTTAAAGCCATAGCTATTAAGCCAATGGATATTAAGAAATAAGACAACCATATATATAAGGATAATGGGATTTAACCAAAACTCATCAATAAATTTGGCAAGTACCAATTTATTATTTTTAAATTTTTTGACTAAAATAAAAGTAGGTACCTATTTAAGGCCGATTCTCACATAGCGCCCCTGTAAAATCTTTATTTATTATGCGATTTTAACAGGATTTGTCTTAAAGTGTAGATCTTGGTAAGGGGCCGTTCATTAATTACGTGAGGTGTTTAAGGGGGGAAGGGGTCGAGCCAAACCTCACCAAATCTCACGTGGGGGGAGGGGGGTCTCGGCAAATATCACGTAATTTTTTTCCGAAAGAAAGAGTGTAAAATTGCGAGAAAACTGAGTTAAATATAGTAAACAATTATAAGCAAATTGTTTTTTTTAATAAATCTAATGGAATCAAGCACAGATTAACTTATTTATCAGCGTGCTCGAATTAGTAAGGAAAAATTATTTTTGCAACTTTTTTTTTCTTGATTTTCAGAAAAAATGTCATAAGAGGGGACCCTTTTGAAAAAAATATCGCGATTTTCGAGTATAACTTCCAAACGGGAAGAGATACGAAAGTGCGGTTTGATTTTTTGGAATCAGCGTGCTCGAATTAGTAAGGAAAAATTATTTTTGCAACTTTTTTTTTCTTGATTTTCAGAAAAAATGTCATAAGGGGGGACCCTTTTGAAAAAAATATCGCGATTTTCGAGTGTAACTTCCAAACGGGAAGAGATACGAAAGTGCGGTTTGATTTTTTGGAATCAGCGTGCTCAAATTAGTAAGGAAAAATTATTTTTGCAACTTTTTTTTCTTGATTTTCAGAAAAAATTTCATAAGGGGGGACCCTTTTGAAAAAAATATCGCGATTTTCGAGTGTAACTTCCAAACGGGAAGAGATACGAAAGTGCGGTTTGATTTTTTGGAATCAGCGTGCTCCAATTAGTAAGGAAAAATTATTTTTGCAACTTTTTTTTTCTTTTCTTCTTCTTTTTTTTCAGAAAAAATTTCATAAGGGGGGACCCTTTTGAAAAAAATATCGCGATTTTCGAGTGTAACTTCCAAACGGGAAGAGATACGAAAGTGCGGTTTGATTTTTTGGAATCAGCGTGCTCGAATTAGTAAGGAAAAAATATTTTTGCAACTTTTTTTTCTTGATTTTCAGAAAAAATTTCATAAGGGGGGACCCTTTTGAAAAAAATATCGCGATTTTCGAGTGTAACTTCCAAACGGGAAGAGATACGAAAGTGCGGTTTGATTTTTTGGAATCAGCGTGCTCGAATTAGTAAGGAAAAAATATTTTTGCAACTTTTTTTTTCTTGATTTTCAGAAAAAATTTCATAAGGGGGGACCCTTTTGAAAAAAATATCGCGATTTTCGAGTGTAACTTCCAAACGGGAAGAGATACGAAAGTGCGGTTTGATTTTTTGGAATCAGCGTGCTTGAATTAGTAAGGAAAAATTATTTTTGCAACTTTTTTTTTTCTTGATTTTCAGAAAAAATGTCATAAGGGGGGCCTTTTGAAAAAAATATCGCGATTTTCGAGTGTAACTTCCAAACGGGAAGAGATACGAAAGTGCGGTTTGATTTTTTGGAATCAGCGTGCTCGAATTAGTAAGGAAAAATTATTTTTACAACTTTTTTTTCTTGATTTTCAGAAAAAATGTCATAAGGGGGGACCCTTTTGAAAAAAATATCGCAATTTTCGAGTGTAACTTCCAAACGGGAAGAGATACGAAAGTGCGGTTTGATTTTTTGGAATCAGCGTGCTCGAATTAGTAAGGAAAAATTATTTTTGCAACTTTTTTTTTCTTGATTTTCAGAAAAAATGTCATAGGGGGGGACCCTTTTGAAAAAAATATCGCGATTTTCGAGTGTAACTTCCAAACGGGAAGAGATACGAAAGTGCGGTTTGATTTTTTGGAATCAGCGTGCTCGAATTAGGAAGGAAAAATTATTTTTGCAACTTTTTTTCTTGATTTTCAGAAAAAATGTCATAAGGGGGGACCCTTTTGAAAAAAATATCGCGATTTTCGAGTGTAACTACCAAACGGGAAGAGATACGAAAGTGCGGTTTGATTTTTTGGAATCAGCGTGCTCGAATTAGTAAGGAAAAAATATTTTTGCAACTTTTTTTTCTTGATTTTCAGAAAAAATTTCATAAGGGGGGACCCTTTTGAAAAAAATATCGCGATTTTCGAGTGTAACTTCCAAACGGGAAGAGATACGAAAGTGCGGTTTGATTTTTTGGAATCAGCGTGCTCGAATTAGTAAGGAAAAAATATTTTTGCAACTTTTTTTTTCTTGATTTTCAGAAAAAATTTCATAAGGGGGGACCCTTTTGAAAAAAATATCGCGATTTTCGAGTGTAACTTCCAAACGGGAAGAGATACGAAAGTGCGGTTTGATTTTTTGGAATCAGCGTGCTTGAATTAGTAAGGAAAAATTATTTTTGCAACTTTTTTTTTCTTGATTTTCAGAAAAAATGTCATAAGGGGGGCCTTTTGAAAAAAATATCGCGATTTTCGAGTGTAACTTCCAAACGGGAAGAGATACGAAAGTGCGGTTTGATTTTTTGGAATCAGCGTGCTCGAATTAGTAAGGAAAAATTATTTTTGCAACTTTTTTTTCTTGATTTTCAGAAAAAATGTCATAAGGGGGGACCCTTTTGAAAAAAATATCGCAATTTTCGAGTGTAACTTCCAAACGGGAAGAGATACGAAAGTGCGGTTTGATTTTTTGGAATCAGCGTGCTCGAATTAGTAAGGAAAAATTATTTTTGCAACTTTTTTTTTCTTGATTTTCAGAAAAAATGTCATAAGGGGGGACCCTTTTGAAAAAAATATCGCGATTTTCGAGTGTAACTTCCAAACGGGAAGAGATACGAAAGTGCGGTTTGATTTTTTGGAATCAGCGTGCTCGAATTAGTAAGGAAAAATTATTTTTTTTTCTTGATTTTCAGAAAAAATGTCATAAGGGGGACCCTTTTGAAAAAAATATCGCGATTTTCGAGTGTAACTTCCAAACGGGAAGAGATACGAAAGTGCGGTTTGATTTTTTGGAATCAGCGTGCTCGAATTAGTAAGAAAAAATTATTTTTGCAACTTTTTTTTTCTTGATTTTCAGAAAAAATTTCATAAGGGGGGACCCTTTTGAAAAAAATATCGCGATTTTCGAGTGTAACTTCCAAACGGGAAGAGATACGAAAGTGCGGTTTGATTTTTTGGAATCAGCGTGCTCGAATTAGTAAGGAAAAATTATTTTTGCAACTTTTTTTTTCTTGATTTTCAGAAAAAATGTCATAGGGGGGGACCCTTTTGAAAAAAATATCGCGATTTTCGAGTGTAACTTCCAAACGGGAAGAGATACGAAAGTGCGGTTTGATTTTTTGGAATCAGCGTGCTCGAATTAGGAAGGAAAAATTATTTTTGCAACTTTTTTCTTGATTTTCAGAAAAAATGTCATAAGGGGGGACCCTTTTGAAAAAAATATCGCGATTTTCGAGTGTAACTACCAAACGGGAAGAGATACGAAAGTGCGGTTTGATTTTTTGGAATCAGCGTGCTCGAATTAGTAAGGAAAAATTATTTTTGCAACTTTTTTTTTCTTGATTTTCAGAAAAAATGTCATAAGGGGGGACCCTTTTGAAAAAAATATCGCGATTTTCGAGTGTAACTTCCAAACGGGAAGAGATACGAAAGTGCGGTTTGATTTTTTGGAATCAGCGTGCTCGAATTAGTAAGGAAAAATTATTTTTTTTTCTTGATTTTCAGAAAAAATGTCATAAGGGGGACCCTTTTGAAAAAAATATCGCGATTTTCGAGTGTAACTTCCAAACGGGAAGAGATACGAAAGTGCGGTTTGATTTTTTGGAATCAGCGTGCTCGAATTAGTAAGAAAAAATTATTTTTGCAACTTTTTTTTTCTTGATTTTCAGAAAAAATTTCATAAGGGGGGACCCTTTTGAAAAAAATATCGCGATTTTCGAGTGTAACTTCCAAACGGGAAGAGATACGAAAGTGCGGTTTGATTTTTTGGAATCAGCGTGCTCGAATTAGTAAGGAAAAATTATTTTTGCAACTTTTTTTTTCTTGATTTTCAGAAAAAATGTCATAAGGGGGGACCCTTTTGAAAAAAATATGGCGATTTTCGAGTGTAACTTCCAAACGGGAAGAGATACGAAAGTGCGGTTTGATTTTTTGGAATCAGCGTGCTCGAATTAGTAAAGAAAAATTATTTTTGCAACTTTTTTTTCTTGATTTTCAGAAAAAGTTTCATAAGGGGGGACCCTTTTGAAAAAAATATCGCGATTTTCGAGTGTAACTTCCAAACGGGAAGAGATACGAAAGTGCGGTTTGATTTTTTGGAATCAGCGTGCTTGAATTAGTAAGGAAAAATTATTTTTGCAACTTTTTTTTTCTTGATTTTCAGAAAAAATGTCATAAGGGGGGCCTTTTGAAAAAAATATCGCGATTTTCGAGTGTAACTTCCAAACGGGAAGAGATACGAAAGTGCGGTTTGATTTTTTGGAATCAGCGTGCTCGAATTAGTAAGGAAAAATTATTTTTGCAACTTTTTTTTCTTGATTTTCAGAAAAAATGTCATAAGGGGGGACCCTTTTGAAAAAAATATCGCAATTTTCGAGTGTAACTTCCAAACGGGAAGAGATACGAAAGTGCGGTTTGATTTTTTGGAATCAGCGTGCTCGAATTAGTAAGGAAAAATTATTTTTGCAACTTTTTTTTTCTTGATTTTCAGAAAAAATGTCATAGGGGGGGACCCTTTTGAAAAAAATATCGCGATTTTCGAGTGTAACTTCCAAACGGGAAGAGATACGAAAGTGCGGTTTGATTTTTTGGAATCAGCGTGCTCGAATTAGGAAGGAAAAATTATTTTTGCAACTTTTTTTCTTGATTTTCAGAAAAAATGTCATAAGGGGGGACCCTTTTGAAAAAAATATCGCGATTTTCGAGTGTAACTACCAAACGGGAAGAGATACGAAAGTGCGGTTTGATTTTTTGGAATCAGCGTGCTCGAATTAGTAAGGAAAAATTATTTTTGCAACTTTTTTTTTCTTGATTTTCAGAAAAAATGTCATAAGGGGGGACCCTTTTGAAAAAAATATCGCGATTTTCGAGTGTAACTTCCAAACGGGAAGAGATACGAAAGTGCGGTTTGATTTTTTGGAATCAGCGTGCTCGAATTAGTAAGAAAAAATTATTTTTGCAACTTTTTTTTTCTTGATTTTCAGAAAAAATTTCATAAGGGGGGACCCTTTTGAAAAAAATATCGCGATTTTCGAGTGTAACTTCCAAACGGGAAGAGATACGAAAGTGCGGTTTGATTTTTTGGAATCAGCGTGCTCGAATTAGTAAGGAAAAATTATTTTTGCAACTTTTTTTTTCTTGATTTTCAGAAAAAATGTCATAAGGGGGACCCTTTTGAAAAAAATATGGCGATTTTCGAGTGTAACTTCCAAACGGGAAGAGATACGAAAGTGCGGTTTGATTTTTTGGAATCAGCGTGCTCGAATTAGTAAAGAAAAATTATTTTTGCAACTTTTTTTTTCTTGATTTTCAGAAAAAATTTCATAAGGGGGGACCCTTTTGAAAAAAATATCGCGATTTTCGAGTGTAACTTCCAAACGGGAAGAGATACGAAAGTGCGGTTTGATTTTTTGGAATCAGCGTGCTCGAATTAGTAAAGAAAAATTATTTTTGCAACTTTTTTTTTCTTGATTTTCAGAAAAAATGTCATAAGGGGGGACCCTTTTGAAAAAAATATCGCGATTTTCGAGTGTAACTTCCAAACGGGAAGAGATACGAAAGTGCGGTTTGATTTTTTGGAATCAGCGTGCTTGAATTAGTAAGGAAAAATTATTTTTGCAACTTTTTTTTTCTTAATTTTCAGAAAAAATGTCATAAGGGGGGCCTTTTGAAAAAAATATCGCGATTTTCGAGTGTAACTTCCAAACGGGAAGAGATACGAAAGTGCGGTTTGATTTTTTGGAATCAGCGTGCTCGAATTAGTAAGGAAAAATTATTTTTGCAACTTTTTTTTCTTGATTTTCAGAAAAAATGTCATAAGGGGGGACCCTTTTGAAAAAAATATCGCAATTTTCGAGTGTAACTTCCAAACGGGAAGAGATACGAAAGTGCGGTTTGATTTTTTGGAATCAGCGTGCTCGAATTAGTAAGGAAAAATTATTTTTGCAACTTTTTTTTTCTTGATTTTCAGAAAAAATGTTATAGGGGGGGACCCTTTTGAAAAAAATATCGCGATTTTCGAGTGTAACTTCCAAACGGGAAGAGATACGAAAGTGCGGTTTGATTTTTTGGAATCAGCGTGCTCGAATTAGGAAGGAAAAATTATTTTTGCAACTTTTTTTCTTGATTTTCAGAAAAAATGTCATAAGGGGGGACCCTTTTGAAAAAAATATCGCGATTTTCGAGTGTAACTTCCAAACGGGAAGAGATACGAAAGTGCGGTTTGATTTTTTGGAATCAGCGTGCTCGAATTAGTAAGGAAAAATTATTTTTGCAACTTTTTTTTTCTTGATTTTCAGAAAAAATGTCATAAGGGGGGACCCTTTTGAAAAAAATATCGCGATTTTCGAGTGTAACTTCCAAACGGGAAGAGATACGAAAGTGCGGTTTGATTTTTTGGAATCAGCGTGCTCGAATTAGTAAGGAAAAATTATTTTTTTTTCTTGATTTTCAGAAAAAATGTCATAAGGGGGACCCTTTTGAAAAAAATATCGCGATTTTCGAGTGTAACTTCCAAACGGGAAGAGATACGAAAGTGCGGTTTGATTTTTTGGAATCAGCGTGCTCGAATTAGTAAGAAAAAATTATTTTTGCAACTTTTTTTTTCTTGATTTTCAGAAAAAATTTCATAAGGGGGGACCCTTTTGAAAAAAATATCGCGATTTTCGAGTGTAACTTCCAAACGGGAAGAGATACGAAAGTGCGGTTTGATTTTTTGGAATCAGCGTGCTCGAATTAGTAAGGAAAAATTATTTTTGCAACTTTTTTTTTCTTGATTTTCAGAAAAAATGTCATAAGGGGGGACCCTTTTGAAAAAAATATGGCGATTTTCGAGTGTAACTTCCAAACGGGAAGAGATACGAAAGTGCGGTTTGATTTTTTGGAATCAGCGTGCTCGAATTAGTAAAGAAAAATTATTTTTGCAACTTTTTTTTTCTTGATTTTCAGAAAAAATTTCATAAGGGGGGACCCTTTTGAAAATAATATCGCGATTTTCGCGTGTAACTTCCAAACGGGAAGAGATACGAAAGTGCGGTTTGATTTTTTGGAATCAGCGTGCTCGAATTAGTAAGGAAAAATTATTTTTGCAACTTTTTTTTTCTTGATTTTCAGAAAAAATGTCATAAGGGGGGACCCTTAAAGGGTTTAAAACTGTATTTTTGGAGCAAAATAGGGACGCCATATTAATGTCAGTTTTTTAGAGTAAATTTTTAATAATTCATATTAGCGATTTTTTAAACAAAATCTAAGCAAGTAATAGTACCATGTTAACATGGTACTATTACTACTAGTAATTAATATTAGTTTAATTTTATTTCAATGTTTTTTCATGGATAACTTGACAGAATAAAATTTTGTAGTTATTATTGTGCATTTTTCTACTTAAAATTTTTCAATTAAATTTAATATAGGGTCGTTTTGAGGGGTGGTGAATCCAGTGCCGTGCTTAGATTTTGTTTAAAAAAATCGCCTATATAAATTCTTAAAAATTTACTCCTAAAATCTGACATTGTGGGCCTTGTATTTTGTACAAATATGATGTTTTTTCCTCAAAAAATACAGTTTATCAAGATCTACAATCCGGTTAAAATCGCACAATAAATAAAGATTTTACAGGGTTGAGTCGCAAACAAATGGGTCACACTGTATATATCTATAATTTTTGTGTTAAATATTTTCAACAAAAATATCAACCAATAAGTACCTATTTATAAAAAGGTTTCTTATTTTAGTTTTTATTTTCAAAACGTCTTTAGAAAATATCACAAATTAAATTCAATTTTTAAACCCTAATTACTCAAAATGGTGCGTAATTTTTGGAAACTATAATCGAAATTACATTATTTGATTATTAATAAAATAATAAATAACAAATATATAATTAAGAAATTCGTCACCCTTAACGTAATATGTTTATCGCGCAGGTCTGACTCACCCATTTTTTTTGTTGTTTTTGTTAATAAGAAAAAATTATAATCCCTTCAACGTAATCAAGCATTCAGTTGTAATTTGGCTTCGATGGGACGAACATGCTCATTTATTACTTTTATCTCCTTAAACAATTGGTAGGTATTATTAGAATTCTAACGCATTTATTAGGTCAAATAATACTACGAATATTTTTGATATTTAAAAAAATAAAGAACATAAAATTTGCAGTCCTTAAATGGTCTAATTGTATTTTTTTTCTAGGACCAACATGTTAAAGCCATATCTATTAAGCCAATGGATATTAAGAAATAAGACAACCATATATATAAGGATAATGGGATTTAACCAAAACTCATCAATAAATTTGGCAAGTACCAATTTATTATTTTTAAATTTTTTGACTAAAATAAAAGTAGGTACCTATTTAAGGCCGATTCTCACATAGCGCCCCTGTAAAATCTTTATTTATTATGCGATTTTAACAGGATTTGTCTTAAAGTGTAGATCTTGGTAAACTGTATTTTTGGAGCAAAATACGCCATATTAATGTCAGTTTTTTAGAGTAAATTTTTAATATGTCATATTAGCGGTTTTTTAAACAAAATCTAAGCAAGTAATAGTACCATGTTACTATTAGTTTAATTTTATTTCAATGTTTTTTCATGGATAACTTGACAGAATAAAATTTTGTAGTTATTATTGTGCATTTTTCTACTTAAAATTTTTCAATTAAATTTAATATGGGGTCGTTTTGAGGGGTGGTGAATCCAGTGCCGTGCTTAGATTTTGTTTAAAAAAATCGCCAATATAAATTCTTAAAAATTTACTCCTAAAATCTGACATGGTAGGCCTTGTATTTTGTACAAATATGACGTTTTTTCCTCAAAAAATACAGTTTATCAAGATCTACAATCCGGTTAAAATCGCACAGTAAATAAAGATTTTACAGGGTTGAGTCGCAAACAAATGGGTCACACTGTATATATCTATAATTTTTGTGTTAAATATTTTCAACAAAAATATCAACCAATAAGTACCTATTTATAAAAAGGTTTCTTATTTAAGTTTTTATTTTCAAAACGTCTTTAGAAAATAACACAAATTAAATTCAATTTTTAAACCCTAATTACTCAAAATGGTGCGTAATTTTTGGAAACTATAATCGAAATTACATTATTTGATTTTTAATAAAATAATAAATAACAAATATATAATTAAGAAATTCGTCACGCTTAACGTAATATGTTTATCGCGCAGGTCTGACTCACCCTCTTTTTTGGTTGTTTTTGTTAATAAGAAATAATTATAATCCCTACAACGTAATCAAGAGTTCAGTTATAATTTGGCTTCGATGGGATGAACATGCTCATTTATTACTTTTATCTACATCAACAAATTGCTAGGTATTATTAGAATTCTAACGCATCTATTAGGTCAAATAACTACGAATATTTTTGATATTTAAAAAAATAAAAAACATAAAAGTTGCAGTCATTAAATGGTCTAATTGTATTTTTTTCCAGGACCAACATGTTAAAGCCATGGCTATTAAGCCAATGCATATTAAGAAATAAGACAACCAATATATAAGGATAATGGGATTTAACCAGAACTCATCAATAAATTTGGCAAGTACCAATTTATTATTTTTAAATTTTTTGACTAAAATAAAAGGTACCTAGGTATTTATTCGCTAACTAAATTTCTTCAAACTTGCTTAGTCTACTTTTATTTATAAAATCGCCTTTGATTTTAACCTTTAGAAAATTTAAATACTTAGTTTTTTGTTGTTTAAAATCAATATATACATATATATATGTATATATATATACAGTGTGGCCCATTTGTTTGCAACTCACCCCTGTAAAATCTTTATTTATTGTGCGATTTTAACCGGATTTGTCTTAAAGTGTAGATCTTGGCAAAATACGCCATATTAGTACAAAATGCAAGGCCTACTGTGTCAGTTTTTTAGAGTAAATTTTTAATAATTCATATTAGCGATTTTTTAAACAAAATCTAAGCAATAGTACCATGTATCTATTAGTTTAATTTTATTTCAATGTTTTTTCATGGATAACTTGACAGAATAAAATTTTGTAGTTATTATTGTGCATTTTTCTACTTAAAATTTTTCAATAAAATTTAATGTAGGGTCAATTTGAGGGGTGGTGAATCCAGTGCCGTGCTTAGATTTTGTTCAAAAAAATCGCTAATATGAATTCTTAAAAATTTACTCCCAAAAACTGACAGAGTAGGCCTTGTATTTTGTACAAGTATATACACTTTAAAACAAATCCTGTTAAAGTCGCACAATAAATAAAGATTTCACAGGGGTGAGTCGCAAACAAATGGGTCACACTGTATATATCTATAATTTTTGTGTTTAATATTTTCAACAAAAATATCAACCATGGTTACAATAAGTATAAAAAGTATACGTATAAAAATGATTCTTGTTTAAGTTTTTATTTTCAAAACGTCTGTAGAAAATAACACAAATTATATTAAATTTTTAAACCCTAATAACTCAAAATGGTGCGTAATTTTTGGGAAACTGTATAATCGAAATTAGATTATTTGAGTATTAATAAAATAATAAATAACAAATATATCTATAATTAAAATTTGTCACCCTTAACGTAATATATATTACATATGTTTATCGCGCAAGTCTGACTCACCCTTTTTTTGTTTTTGCTGATAAAAATAATTATAATCCCTACAACGTAATCAACCATTTAGTTGTAATTTGGCTTTGATACGACAAACATGCTCATTTATTACTTTGATCTACATCTATACAGGGTGTCCCGAAATTAGTGCATCATACTTTAACAGCAGATTCTACGTGCAAAAATAAGAAAAAAGTCCCAATAAATATAGGTCGAGACATGCCTCCTAAGGGAGCTACAGCCCCTGAAAAGGGAGCCCCTGAAGATGGTTTTTATCTAATATAAATAAAAAAGTAGAAACACCCTGTCACTTACTACATGAAACTGTCACCTGTCTTGAATTATTCTATTTTTTCCTAAACATGGCAGCCGTATTCCAAGGACCACGCGAGTCAATTTCTATGGTTGTGATTTAATTGTGAATTTTTATGCCATGTAAAATAATTTTCAAATCAATTTTTTGCGAAAACGGTGTATGTTATCGAAGTTCAACAACATGACCTTTTTTATGTGCAAAACTCTAAAATTTCATAATCTGACACCAAATTCTGGTACAAGATACGTACAAATAAGTTAAGGTGGTTTTAACCCTACTTCCTATCAATTTGACCCAAACCTCATAAAAATTTTTAAATTGTTATTGTTACGTCTTATTGGTCATAAAAAGTTTAATTAATTCCCCAAATTTCACTTTTATATCTTTAACGGTTTTGGAGATATTAAATAAAAACCATCTTCAGCGGCTTTCTTTTTGGGGGCTGTAGCTCCCTTAAGAGGCATTTCTTGACCTATGTTTATAGGGACTTTTTTTCTTATTTTTGCACGTACAATCTGCTGTTAAAGTATGGTGCATTAATTTCAGGACACCCTGTAGATGTATTTGTATACAAATTGCTAGGTACCTACCTATATACGTATTATTAGAATTCTAACGCATCTATTATCTCAAATATTACTACGATTTCTTTTATATTTAAAAGAATAAAAACATAAAAGTTGCAGCCCTTAAATCGTCTAATTGTATTTTTTTCTAGGTTCAACATGTTGTAGCATTAACCCATGGATAATAAGAAATAAGACAACCATACAAGGATAATACGATTTAACCAGAACTCATCAAGGAATTTGGCAAGTACCTACCAATTAATTATTTTTAATTTTTTTGACTAAAAGTTTTTATTATAGAAATTTCTTTAAATATCTTTTTGTCGGGTCAAATATTGTTTAAGTTGGAGATAGAACTAATTCTTTATTTAAAGATCAGTTCTTTTAGTTCGTTTTTGTTAGGGATCGTAAGTAAAAATTTTGTGATTCTTTTTGTCAGGTCAAATCTTGTTTAAGTTGGTTAAGTTGAAAATGAAACTTATTCTTGACTTAAAGATTACTTCTTTTTTGTGAAAGGGTCGTGCTTCAAAATTTATTTTAGATTTTTTTATCAGGTCAAATTGTGTTTATTGGGATATTTTTAAAGATCAGTTCTTTTTTTTTGTCAGGGGTTGTAATCAAAACTTTTTTAGATTCCTTTTGTTAGGGCAAATCTTGTTTAAGTTGGAGATGAAAATAATTCTTTATTTAAAGATAAGTTCTTTTAGTTCGTTTTTGTTAGGGGTCGTTAGTCAAATTTTCATTAGTTTCTTTAAGTTGGATATGGAACTTATTCTTTTTTAAAGATCAGTTTTTTTTGTTAGGGGTCGTAGGTCAAAACTTTTTTAGATTCTTTTTGTTAGGGCAAATCTTGTTTAAGTTGGAGATTCTTTATTTAAAGATAAGTTATTTTAGTTTATTTTTGTTAGGGGTCGTAAGTGAAATTGTCATTAGTTTTTTTAAGTTGGATATGAAACTTCTTTTTTTAAAGATCAGTTCTTTTTTTTTTTTGTTAGGGGTCGTAAGTCAAAACTTTTTTAGATTTTTTTTGTTAGGGCAAATCTTGTTTAAGTTGGAGATTGAAATAATTCTTTATTTAAAGATAATTTCTTTTAGTTCGTTTTTGTTTAGGGTGGTAAGTCAAATTGTCATTAGTTTCTTTAAGTTGGATATGAAACTTATTCTTTTTTTAAAGATCAGTTCTTATTCTTTTGTTAGGGGTCATAAGTCAAAACTTTTTTAGATTCTTTTTGTTATGGCAAATCTTGTTTAAGTTGGAGATGGAACTAATTCTTTATTTAAAGATAAGTTCTTTTAGTTTGTTTTTGTTAGGTTGTAAGTCAAATTCTCATTAATTTTTTTAAGTTGGATATGAAACTTATTCTTTTTTTAAAGATCAGTTCTTTTTCTTTTTTTTTTGTTAGGGGTCGTAAGTCAAAACTTTTTTAGATTCTTTTTGTTAGGGCAAA